TCATATCAAAACTCTGGTTCTTGCACGTAAGTAAAAGAACGAGTTCTCCTGAGAAAGGGCTTCCAGCACGCACAGCAGAGTGCATTTTCTCCCCTACTTTGCACCTCCCACGGGGACCCGCACCGCGAGACAGCTTCAGCAAGTGAATTTTACAGGCGTTGTCAAGGAACACAGTCTCTGAACTACAGTAAGAAAAACGGTGTCACGGTAAGTGCAGGAACACAGAGGAATCAAACCCGAGTACTGAAACTTTTAAGGTTAAAAATTTGATTTGGGTTTGCTGTATCCACCTCAGAAGAAGCCGGAGAAACAGTCATTCCCCCTAGCAATGGGAGAGAACGCTCCTGGCATTAATTATATTTTCCTTTTTAAAGGTGTAAGGAGTTAAGCATTTCAGAGAAAGGAGGAATTAATTAGCTAGTTCAGTTTGGCATAACTTCCGCATCTTTCAAGACATTTATTTTTAGAACCGGTTATGGGAATGTGCATTTACATCCCAATTAAAGAAAGCAAACGAAGTGTTCGCTCAATCCCCTTTGCTGCAAAACAAGGATTGGGAACCCTTCCCCCTAAGGCCTCGCAAAGATAGTTGGTGTGCTCTTGTCACCCAGCCCCTCACCCCTTCCTTAAAAAAAAACAAACAGAAATCAAGGAATACAACAAAATTACAGGGTACAGGCTCTCCCCCCCAGGGCAGAGTGAGGGAGCAGCTTAAGATGGCATAAAATTTCTAGACTTTGCTTTTCAGGTGTCAGATACCTGATCACCATAACGTAAGGGAAGCAAAGGAAACAAATTAGACTTCGGCTGTTCAAGCATTCCACTATTCGATTGGTTTGATGAAAGCCAGCAATGTTTTGCCAATAACCGAAAAGGGATCTTCTTTGTCTTTACAAATGAAGTTGGAAAATTAAACATAGGAAAATGGGATAATTTCTGCACAATAGAGGTGAGGTAGGGAATTTTATTGAAAATAGGTTTGTTGGTGGTTTTTTTTTTTACAAGTTCTTAGAAATAAAGTTGTTTTTTCTAATCTCACACAAATGGCTGTACCTCAGAAGTTCCACTATGCTACTATGAAACATTTATATTTACAGTTAGCCAAAAGAATATACAGAACTGCCATTTTATGCAAATACCGAAGTACCAGATCACAGTGAGATACATTACTTCAGCACTCCCACCATTAGGAACAGATTAAGGTTGAACATACGAAAGAATCTCACTAGTCTACAAACCTCATCTCTCACAAAAAGGGAAGATTTTTAAGAGTGTTGGAGCGAGGTCTCCACTACAGCGTCATTTTACAAATTACATAATGCACGTACTCAAATTCATAACAAAAAAACCTGTAATCAAGGTGATGAACAGAGCAATAGTGTTGTCTGTTAGCCTTTTATTGCATTTATTCAGCCATTCACCCAATGCCCAGCCCAGTAACCGTCGTTCATTTCCCACACCTCAGCCAGGCTGCAGTTCACCCAGTTCACCCATCTGCAGCAGGTTTCAGTCGGGGAAAGCTAGTGGCAGCTTGGTGCATATCCTCCCCCTCCCTCTCGGCCCCTACCCTCACCACACCGAACTTCGTTTCGGACACAAAGACACATAGTTTCACATATTTACAATTACATTGAAAGCCAAACCCGATGAGTTTCACGGACATCCTTTACAGAGAAACCAAAACCCACTGTTTGGATC